ATGTTATCCTAGTTGCTTAGAGAGGCACTTGTGCAGAGCCATACTTAAGATTTTTATTTGCAGTGACAGAAGTGCATTCAGAGATGGAAGAAACTCATAGACTGAGGGTCTTTCCTCACAGGACACCGTGTTCCCTGCACAGCTACCACACTTGGCCACGTTTCCCCTTTCTTGCACCATAACATCTCCTCACCCACGCCGAGAGACAGCTAAAAACCATTTCACAAATAAGAGAAGGCACATGAGTGCACTTTATGGTACTTGTTTTATAAAATTACTCCCAAAAAACCCTGCCATTAGCAAAACATTAGTACTGCCTAGTCAATCATGTAGAACTGAGAAGAAGCCACAATTAAATTTTTCTGTGCAGTCATAATTTGCTCCCTCCTCATTCCTTGCTGTCAGGGCTGGCAAGCAGGCCACGATAGAGCCTGCAGCAAGCTGACCAACACTCTCCTGACTGCAGCCCAGTGCAGGGTTCTGGTGACCTACTGCATTTTTATACTGAGACTGCCTAGGCTGACTTCTTACAGCAAATAAGGGACATACCTACACACAGGAGTTGGTTATGAATGAAACCAATATATGAATGAAACAGGAAGCAGAAAAAAAAATTAATAAAAAAGAAGAAATTGAAGATATTCCCAAGTGACCACAAGGCACTTTCTCACAGGCAGTGCAGCAAGACTGTGCCTCAGTTGCTCTCAGCAACACAAACACATCCCTTTGGAACAGCATCAGTGCACTCGTTTGCATTCATCCCTCTCCCAAGAGGCGGTAAGAGTCTGAAATCCCCCTGTATTCAAGAACATTAAGAACTAAACTAAACCTTGCAATCTTCTCCCAAGCTCTGTTACACCTTCCCTCTTTGCAGCAGTCTCTCCAAAGTGCATCGCAAAGAACAAAACATGTTTCTTGTTTACGAGTGGATTAGAACTACTCAGACACCTTATCTGTGTTTAAGGACTGCTATCTCTCCCAATTTTTTTTTCTTCTTGACACAGTTTTCATTATTTCAGTCTTATTAAATGGGCCACACAGACATAACATCTGTTTTCTTGGTTACGTTCCTTTCCACTATCTCAGATTAGTGGGATGGCACAGAACTCTGGAACTAACTTACACTGAACACCGATTATCTGTAAATCACAAAACCCAGCCAGCAAATCAACACACAGAGCTCTGTCAGAGGCTCACATACCACAGCTAAACAGCAAAAACCAGAGCTGTTTTACCTTTCCCCACAACTGCCAGAAGAAAATCCTCCCCTGGCTGCCCAGGGAGGCTCACGCTGATCAGACTGTGTGAACAACCCTCACCTTGGCAGCTGGGCAGTCACAGACACCCCAACTGAAAAGGGCCCGTTCCTCCCTCTACATCACAGCCAGGCAGTGCAGGAGCCACAGCTCAGATCCAGAAACTAAGCAGAACAAACATCTTTCCATGGAAGCAATCCAAAATGCAACAGAGATAAGCACTTCCTATCCGTGTTTCCCTTCGATCCCCCAGCTGGCAACGCTTTGGAGCAGGCCCTGCACTCAGCTCCCGTGGCCCAGCTGTGCATCAGATGTGCAGAGCTCCAAACTTCATTTTCAGCTTATAATGGAAACAAACTGCATTTCCACAGCACTATCAGAATGCAGATGAGTTACGCGTTTTGTGCTGAACAAAACCAACTACATCTCAGCAGCTCTACTGATGCGCTGATAGGGCTCAAAAAGCCTCAGATCCTCTCTCTTCGCATTATCTTTAAAAAAAGGTAATTAAACCACATGGGGGGAAAAAAAGTAGGATGTTCAACCAGCAAAAATACAAAGTCCACAAAGAGAATTTCACAGTTTAGATAGGAGCACTATCCCGAAACCAGGGAATTAAGACCAGCTGACCTCAAGGTACTCACACTCATAATCCTTCATACCCACTAAAAAGTCAACATTCCTTATGGGGCTAAATTGTGGTTAACATCCTAGCTTACATTTATTACTTCTGTGCCTGCTGAAACAGATTAACCATTAAGGCAAAGCTTTAACTCTTAATTTCTTTTCCTAAAGAGGTGCTCCCCCACCTTATTTCTTTACAAATAAAATATTTACCATTCTAGAAAAAAACAACATTTCAACAATTGGTTAATTGGTTAGTTCCCAACAGTAGCACTGCCGGTCCCAGCCTAATTCAGCTAACAAACTTCATTAAATATCAGGTTTATTCCACTGAAACAGTTTTTATCACAACAATGCAGTGTAAAGGCAAACAAAGGAACTTGGTGATTCCAATACACACAAAAAAACATTTTGACAGAAACAAAGAGGAAAAGAGTGACTATAATGATGCCACTTCTTACAAAACTAGTACAGCAAATTTCATCTGTGTGTTTGCACGTGTGTGTGTTAGGAAATGGTGTGTAAGTTTAGGCTGATAAATGAATTTATACATAAAATACCCTAGAAAATCCAAACCAAGCATCAGCAGTACCAAAGACACAACTAAAAATTCAATAATCCTCAAGTGGAAGACAAAAACAAAATGTAAAGGAAATAAATTTTATTTGGTGTTACGTTATTATATAACCATTATATTTTGTAGTTTTTTGGAAGTCACCCATCCAACTAATAAGAAAAACACATCACAAAGCATAGAGTCATCACTTATTCTACAAAGAAAACTTTTTAATTCTCCTTTGGCTTGAACTAAAACACTGGAAAACAGTTTCATGAAATTTTAGACAATTGTGCCTTTAACAGACTAACAGAACTACAAACAAAAGGAAAACAGAGTCAAGTTCAATCTCAACTTTGTCCCTGAGTTTGACAGTTTACTGCTTTACCAATAAAGCAATTAACAGCTTTCACATTAAAGCTCAAACAGATAAATAAGAAACCAGGAGACAGCTTCATGGGTCTCTACTTCCTGGCCCTCCTTGCAGTTTCCTGCCACATAAAATACATTAAAAATATAACATCCCACATCACAAAACCCAGTCAACCATTACTGAACTGCTTACAGATGATGTTCAAATGAGGAATGTGTCCCTAATTTGCAAATGAGCAATCATTAAGCCATCTTAAATGTCTTCCTGATTCACATGAAAATGCACTCATATGAGATGCAAGAGACACTTGTAACCCTTCCCAACAGGAAACAAAACAAATTGGTTTAAAAATGTAACTTGTCTTCAAATGCACAAAATGCATTTATGCTAACAAAGATTTATGAGACTAGACAGCCCTTTGAACAGTGAGATCTCACATCACCCTACTTATGACACTGTAAGTAGCAGAAGCATTATCAGTGTCCAGCTGGACTGTAAGACTAGACAAGGCAGCAGGAATTCAAGCTCATTTTGCAGGAAAAGTACTTTAATCTCCAAAGCACTGCAAGTGCAGGGCTATACAAAATATCTCATTCAAGTAGTTATAAAAATCCACTATACAGATTGAATTACTTCCACAGCAAGGTCCCAAAGACATACCCTAAGAAACAGTCCACAGATTCAATTATCTTGACTTTTTTTGTACTATGAATGAGTAAAGGAAAAGAAACTGGACAATTTACAACAAAGAAGTTTCAACACTGCAATACATGGAGCTGTACTTCATAACAGTGAACAGCGAACATAACAGAAACTCCACACCTGACAGGAATGAGGAAAAAAACCTGCAAGACCACTCAGAAGAGAAAAATTTAAAAGGCAAAGATCTGCCAAACTCAATTAACAGGACAGAACAACGTAGAGTTTGTTTGATTTCAATAGATTTTATGACAGCTTAAGAAGAATCAGCAAGTCTCTAGCTACGCCCTTCCACTCAGGCAGTAGAGACGCTGCCCTCAGCTGAGGACGTGCACCGTTCCCTTCCACTGTTTCATTGTGGCTTCTCTGCGATCACTTTTCAATCACCAAATTCCCACATGGAGTTGCTTTGGCAATATTTTCCAAGTGGGAATTATCAGAGTTCAGAAAATATTCCTGATTGCCAAGCTGGTAGGTCGTGATAGTAGAGAGCCTTTCACCCTGGGCACTGTGGCCGCCTGGATGAACTCCACAGTGCCAATACAGTGATTTGTTGCTTTGTTTTAGTTGGGGTTTTTTGGGGTTTTTTGTTTTGTTTTGTTTTTAATCTGAGGATCTGCAGAGCTGCTCCATAATTAAACTAAAAGCTTTCACCTGTACACGTCTGAGCAGACATTTTTCACCGCTTGACATTTTTTGGGCCATCCAAACACTGCAAAGGGAACACTGATCATTATAAACCTGCCCCTTGTACATCCTGAAGCTGCCAAATCCAGATCTTAGACCAGCAATAAAATACACCATTAGTAAACCTAAACCAGCAGCCTAAAATCAAACTTTACAACTGCTGAATGCCTAAATTTCCAACAATTCAAAAAAAAAAAAAAATCAATCTGAAGTTCAAGACTGAACAAGTAAGGGAACAAGATGTATTCTCTATCCAACAAAGAAAGCTTCAATATGCATAAACCCTAGTAAAAAATCTTAATAAATACATTTAACATTCAGATTTTTTTACAGATAAAACAAAATAATTTTTATTGAGACAAATGTGTTCATGCTGGCATTTAAAATCTCAGACAAAACCAAAAAGCAGTGGAATGAAAGAAGAAACTTTTATGATTAACCTTCTGGAACTTCAGCATTAGTGTGATTCTACTTAACACCTTCTGCAAGACACTGCTCAAACCCTCTTTCTCCTTTCAGCTGAGGCTTTTTTGACAAGTTAATCAATGCCCTCAGAAATGAGGGATATGCTGAATGAAATAATCCCACAGAGCCAGCACGGACACCTGCTGTGCATTCCATTAATTCACTTGTAAACGTCAGGACTTTCTGTTTCCCACTTTACACTTCAAAACACTGACAACTCAATCCCTCTGCACCACACTGTGTGCTCCAGCAACACTTACTTACATTGCTTTTGGTCCTTGCCCCAGTGTTTTCCTCAGCTCTTGGTTTGTTTAATGGGTATTAGTGTTGAGTTTTTTGGGTGGGTTTTTTTTATCAGATCATTTTCTCACCAGTTAAGCAGCCCCTCTGTGCCAAATAAGGGCATTCTTAACTACACTTTATGATATAAACCACATCATGCCTTCACACACACACTCCCCATGGGTAGGAACAGGAGCTCTCTACGTGAAGTCTCAGCCAGGTTATGTCAGAAGGTGCATCTTAGATCTTCATTCACTACCCACGAGGCTGTTTGAAGAAAAACTTGGAAAATAATTGTGGATAAAGAGAAAATTACTCATCTCTCTTTCACTATACTGATCAGTTCAGAAGACAAAACAATATTCAACCTTCTACATCGCCACTCCATTATCAGTGCTTCCAAACATGTGTGGAAACCTTTTTCCCCACACAGATCTCACGGAAAAAAAATACATCCCTTTACCACAAGCACATACAAGAACTGTTCTGCACGGGACACATCACGTTCCTTTCTTCAAATAGCGGGAGAGGAACTGGCTTCTGACAAAGTGGATCAGCTTGGTCTCAGTGCAAAACATCGTCACAACGGTTGCTGCAAAGCACAGAGCGCCCACACCGATGTGGAGCAGCCTCGCCATCCACCCCTTATCACAGCACAGGAACCCCTACAACAAAGGACACAAGCAATTGCAGGAAAACCAGTCAGCACAAAGGAGATTTGTTGTCTCAGTAAAAAATAAAGGCCCAACACCTCTCTTGATCATTCCAAAATATAAAGCTCTCCCTTCTCAGGCATAATGGATTTTCAAGCTGTCAAATTTTTGTACATTGAAAAGGTACCATCTCTGTAATATTTAGCCTATGCAATTACCATCTTGTAGTCTAAATAAATGTGCTCTTAGCAATTTTTGGTTTTGTTCTTGTTTTGGTTGTTTATCACTTTTTTATTACAGAATTTTTTTGTGCTACTGCAAAAGTTCAGTTACTAATAACTAAGAACACATTTCTCTACAGACAGAAGAAATGTTTTAAAATTTGTTTTACTTGTCAGATACACCTTGTGCAGGTGGCAGAGATAACTCTGTATCAAAGATTAAATCTCTTAATAATATATCATGCCTTGCCTGTAACGGAAACCTTCCGGCCTACCCTTTTTTCTTAATGCTGTTCTCTGCCTGCAGACGCAAAAGTCACTCATGCTCACAGTGAAAGTGAAGAGAAAGATGCTCACCTCTGAGAAACCAGTGATGACTCCACTGATGATATAAACCAGCAGCAAAAAGGGAGAGGGAAGCAAACCTGTCAGAGGCCTGTAAGTGCTTTCCTTGAAGAAACCATAGATGTAGTGGATGCTGTGAGTGATTCGAATGCCCATGTTGAAGCAGTTGGCAAGGATAAAGCCTACACTGCCATACCAGTGGGTCAGGAAATAAGAGATGCACAGAAATATGAAGGACAGGGCCAGCATAACGAAATTGTACCTAGGTAAAAAAACAAACAAACAAAAAAAGGAAACAATTTAGCATTGCATGAAGTTACAGCATTCGTTTACTGCACACTCATTGCAGAGAGCAAAATTTAATAACGATCATTAGTAATGTAAAAACCTGTGGATTTTTTGTTACTTTATTTTAGGAATGCATTAAAGACAATAAATGTTCAACAACATAAAAATGACGCTATATTTTGCTCCAAACAGTGGCTTGGAAAACAAGTTCACATTTTAAAGGGGTCATGGAAGCAGCCCTTGCAAAGTCAAAAAAGATCCTACTTTGGTTGTGGAAAAAAGACCTCACTGAAATTAATTTGGAAGGGCCACATCAGGGAGAGCCTGAACATAGAATCAAGAAATAATCCAGGCTGGAAGGGATCTCAGGAGGTCACCTAATCCAATCTCCTACAAAAGTACATAAACCACTGAATTCACATCCACAATTTAGATCATTCCTAAGTGTATATACAGTACCTGTACATGACAAATTTTAATAGCTGCAAACTTTTAGTAAGTCAAACGACTGTTTTAAAAGTATAACTTGAAGTTCATGTGTACAGAAACACACACTTAAATTACTTTCCCAGTTAGTGATGTACTGTAAGCTAATTTAACAACCTGCATTTCTTAATTTCTGACCTTTTTACCCAAATATTTAACGTTTGCTAAAGGCTCTACGTCTAAATCTAAGTGCAGACAGCCTAACCAGGAGTTGCTTTTCAGTGGGGCAGGATATTATTATGCCAATTTCAAAAGCACCCATTTCCTTATCAGATCAGCACAAATAAATTAACAGGAATACTGTGGGGACATTTTCCTACCTGTCCACCTCTTCTTTACACATCAAAGCAGATGTAAAACATTCTGTTACCCCATTGACAGCAAGAAATAGGACATACAGCGAGTAACACCGGAGCAGATCTGGACCTAAAAACATGTCAGAAAGATAAATAGATAAATTCCTTGACTACTTTTTAAGGTTGGTTTCTTAACAAATTACCCTGCAATATGTAGAAGATTGATACCATTATGTAGTTTAGTGCTATTTTTAAAAAAAGTATTATTGTTCCTATGCTAAAAATATGAATTCTTTGGGTCCCATTCATTGAATGTGGTTTTTCTGTTTTAAACAGCTGAAGTCAGTAATTGTACATCATGGCTTAGTCAAATAATCCTTTAAATGTTGTGTTCCAACAATGTGATATTGCAAGAGGGTAGAGTCCCAAAATTCATCCTACTTCATTAGAGGTCCTCAGCATATTTTAGTTTAAGGGACTACATATTAAAGACACTCTCACAAAGGCACAAGTTCTGGATTTCCATGAGCTTAGTCAAAGATTTCAATAGGGATTTTACAAGGGGGAAAAAAAAAATCTGCTGATTTACAAAAAAATAATAGCTGAGGTTTTTCTTTTTTTTAAAAGAATGGCTTTTTTTTTTTTTGCCAGCTCTAGAAATCTTTACCTGTTCCTGAACTCAGCATTGAGCCTCCATAAATATCCAGAGCCAGCTGAGAATAGGCATAGCCAAAAACAGTGATGGTAAGGCCAATCAGGAGCACAAGCTTCAACAGCAATTCCAACACATTTGCAGCCATAGCAACATCATCCTGAAAAAAATGTAGTCGATTACACAAATCAGAACCCATGTCATAGTCATCTTCCCACAGAAATGCTACCTCACAGAAAAAATAAATCAGTTTGCACAGTGTAAAAAGGTGTGAAACTTATCCTTGGTTATTGCATTATCCACACACATGGTCTTAACTTGCAAAATTTTTTATATATTTATTATCCCATTGTTTTTCCAGTTATGATATCAGGTACACTGTATATAAAATATACACACAACCCTCTTAGCCCACCAGTGACCTGAAGCACAGGACTGAACTGTGTGCTGATGTGCAAGTAGCAGGATTATCACAAGGTCAGCCCAGGCTGACCTTCATGACTGATCAGGAATATCACCTTTGGAACAAAGCTCCTATTCATTAATATCCAGCATACAACTCAAAAGTGCAAGAAAAACACAAATATTTCCTTCCCAAAAAATCGCACTCTTCAGAAACATTACTTAACAGCTATTGATATTTTCAAGTATATCAATAATTTATTTAATAGAAATAGTATGATTTTATGGTTTAAATAATGGAAATACACAGTACAGCAGGCTTTACATCACAGAGTTTGGAGGACAGGATGTTCACTTCATTGGCACAAGCAATACTACATCACTGCATATTTTAATTTCTATTTCATTAGCATTTTACCTATTCTCTTTTCTTTTTTTGGTCCAGCCTCACTTGACATTTTTTTCTCCACTTGAATTTTTCAATTTTAACAGCCTCAATACTCAAACACACATTTCTGTCACGTTTTTGTGATGCAGCTTATCTGTAACAAACATCAAGCATCTGACACGTAATTAATCCAAAATAAACTTACCTGCTTCTGATCCTTCACAGCCTTCCCTCTTTCCAACACTTTAGCAAAAAAGACATAAAAACTCTCCTCAATAGGCAAAAAGATAAACCTGGCCACCAGTGAACCAAGATTATTCACGATATCATATACACCTTGGAAAAAAAAAAAAGGCAGCAATTTGTAATTTTTACATGCATTTTAATTCCAAGTCTTTAATTACAACGTGAATTCTAATTTAACATCTCCACTAAGCAGAGAGAAAACAAACGGAATTTAGTGCAACACTGAAGCAGTGTTTTCTAAAGATTCTGACAGTCACAGCAACCACAGCTCAAAACTGCAAGGCTGGCTCATAGATGGCAAAGGAGGACAAAAGCATCAGCTACAGATGCGAATCTAATAACAGCACCAAACCAGGTTTAAAATTCTTACTGCAGAGGAATTGGGAGGATGATCCTGAGACATTTCACTGAATGAGAACAGGAAGATAAGGATTTATTGATACAGAAGAAGAGAATGATATGTGTCTAGTGAAAGTTATCCCTGTCCACAGCAGGGAGGTTGGAACTAGATGACCTTTAAGGTCCCTTCCAACCCAGGCCATTCTATGTTTCTGTGTCTTAAATCAAATTCTTTTCTCCATCTACATCAATCATTCTCCAAAATGTATCTCAAAAGTCACAAAGGCTTTGAAATGTTCCCAGATTTTCAAGTTATCTTCGAATACTTTAGGTCATTTTCAGAACCATCTTCAGAGCAAGAACTAAGAAAACTGACACCATTCCACAGCACCATCACACTTACCTTGATCTCCAAAATTTAACACGTTCAAAAAAGTCATCACATATCGTTCACCTGTAAGTTCAGGACAAAAAACTTAAGGACAAGTTCCTAAACCTTTCTCAGTACTTGTTCAAGGCACTTGTAATACTAAATATTCAACAAAGTCAAATGGAACAGCACCAACTTCAGATTACCCTAAAAAGCTTCACTCAGGTTGAATGGTGCCTCCCCCTACCCCATCAAGCCTTTGGAAGCTCTAAGTCCATTTTGTAAGGAGTGTTCACGAGCCCTTCCCCACCACAACCACACGTAAAGCCTCACCCTCTGTCAAAATCTGTTTCAAGAAGGATTGTTTGAAGAAACTCCAAGTCAAACGTGCTTCCTTCCAGTTAACAAAGGTCTGCAAAAAAAGTACTGAAATGTAATAAAAATGATTGAACCTAAAGAGTAGAAATAGAAAATACAAAGCCAGTGCAATACTCTGGGCAAGCTCTAACTGGAGTGAGGAGGAAACCCCCTGTATCACCGTTTCTAACCATCTCAAATATTACCTAAAATATTGTTTAATTCAAGGACCAATATAACTCTGATCTGGCACAAACTTATTCCCTTGCTGAAAAGCACTGTCGTTTCAGATAAAGAACCCAAAAAAGCTTTCTACAGAAAACAGTAATTAGAGATCAGCAAAAGCCACATCCATGCTGTTTAGCATGCCAATATAACTCCCACCATCACTGTAGATATAAATTGCTAACTGCTCTTCAAACTGTCCTCCTAAGTCTTGCATCCAAGAACCATCTTTATCTTTTCCATCTATAAATCTTTTTCAGAATGTTGTCTTCCTTGCTGCAGCTTTTCAATCTTTCTTTGCCTTGCTTTTGTCTGAGAGATATTTGAGAACCTGTAGGATGCTGTGTAGCACCATGGTTATTCTGTGGAAAGGTCAAAGCACCAAAATCCATTGTAAAATGATTCTGGTTTCTTTCCTGCCTCAGATCCAGTGATACCCTGCACACTGTTCTGTCTCCAGTTAATGTTTTTTAATATCTTTGCACAAACCAAGTCAGCACAACAAGTGCAAAGAGTTCGTTTTTCTGACAAGGATTCTACTGATAAAAGCTACAAACTGGATTTTTATGTATTTTTTTTTCTTTCTTTTTAACCTGCCATATCTTCTACAGTGCAGAAATAGCCCCAAAATCACTCAATTAACTCCACTGTCTCAAAGTTATTTTCAAAATAAAAGATTTTAAGGAAGGGGGAGGGGGAAATCAAGAAAAACTGTGCAACCTACCTCATCTTCCACAAAGTTAGGTAACAGAGCTTTCACTCTAGCAACTGGAAATGACTTCTTTGTTGCTTCAGGTGATCCCAAAAACATCACAAAATAAGTTACATAGCACATCACCAGAACAGTGGCATATAAAAGCTGGAAAGATTGGGAAGGAGAGACAAAAACCAAAGAGTAATATAAAATTAACTTCCAGATGTCGATTTACATGCTAGAATTACATCCTAGTTGCAAATTCGGTGGAAAGAAAATGTAAGTAGTCCTTATTCCTGTCAAATACTAAACTAGGTAAAGACTTAACACCTCTCAAGAATGCTATTGATCTCTCTTTTTTTTAAACTGCTGTTATCATAGTCCTTCGCTAACTTTCATGTTTTATTCAGCATTTTTAGAATGATTATTTAAAGTCCAATTACAAAGCAATTATTCACTCAATCAAAAATCAAATTGACAGAGTAGCTACTGTCTACATCTCTTACTTCATAGAATCATTTCCATCTTCCATCGGTTATGAGCCACCTCCTACAGCCACTGCAAAAAGTGAATAAAAAAAAAAAGTAACCTGCTGTCCACATCTGCAGTGGACCACATTTTTATTTCTAGGTGAATTGATAGTACACAGGCCACAACCCTATTTTCCAGGTGCCTTCTTCTTTGCACTAAAGAAAAAATTTTAACCTGAATACATCTCACATGATTAGCAGTTCCTGATAAGGTGAGACAGGTTGGTGGTACAGGCTGATAAAGTTGCGCATGATCAGTCTTCTACAGAAGAAGATTCTACAGAGTAGAATCCAAAGTCTAAGAATTCTGAAGCCAGATGGGGAACAGAGTCTTCAAGCATTAGAAGATGCAACTCATTATGAAAAGAGTCCCCAAAAAGCTTACACAGAATAACATAACTTTATTTGTAAAATGTGCCTTCACAGCCTGAAGGTCCTTCCTTGTACCTCCATTAAACTGCTCAAGGCACCAAGTCAGTAACAAGGATCAGCAAAATACTAAACACAAGTGCTAAATCCTAAACCTCCTAAGAGCTTTTTCCCCTCAGCTTCCCAAAGTACTTTAGCAGGCTAAATGTCGAAGGCAAATAAAAATTCAGGTGAGTGAAAACACAGAAAACTTACCTGAGCCAAGGCAAAAATGTAAAGGCCCCACTGAGGGTAAAGGATTACTAAAATAACTGTCAAAATGCATTTTGACACCACTGAAAGGCTTTCAGCAATTACCTTCAAGAAAGAAAACAGAGAAGAGTTATTTTCTACCACGTACACAACCTTAAAATATATTAGTTTAACACACAGAATTTATGTAGGAATGTAGGACTTTTAAAGTCAGTGGGACTTTATGACAGTTTCTTTCTGCTGAGCTGGTCAGCTTAAACTGTGATTTCTCTGTAAATTTTCTATTCTTTCATTTCACAATTTCTCCACTGCACTTTCCCAGTCCTTTGTATGGGATAGAAAGGAGAAAGCTTTGCTTGAGACTATTCTCAATTGCTACATTTCACAGTTTTATACCAACAATCCATTGAAATGCAGAATTGTGGAAGCAGTGTGCCTCTCCCTCCAATTAAAACTTGTGATTAAGCATTTAATTAATGTGATAATTTCTAAATAAACCAACTTGCTTCCTTAAATGGTTACAAATTCCTATCTGTGTTACAACCACGCCACACAGTACTAAACAGGACACATGGGGGGGGGGGGTATATGCTTGAATATACAAAGACCTATGTCAGTTGTATGTTCTTTTCAACAGAAAGATAATTCCCCCCACGTGCACACACCCCCTGTACTTTACTAACCTTAAGTCTCACAAACAAATGCGCTTGTGCTAAAACCCAGCACGGTTCTCCCAGAAGTTCAATAACTGCAGACAGGCCAAATGCCACCACACCAGCCTGATAATGAGGAACCACAGAGGGATCAGGGACTTCAAGCAAGTGTAGCCAGACTAAGCCCAAGAAAACAGACCAAAAAACACCAAGAGGGACTCTAAAAAGTTAACATAAAAACTAATTACTACAAATGTTACTTCAGCAGGGGGGAAAAAAAAAAGAAAAAAAAAAGAAAATTAAGATTACAATATCACATATGGCCATAATGATTACAAAAAAAAAAAAAAGACCCCAACGAACTAATTTCTGTTATTACTACACCAAGAATGTATTATCTTTTTTTGTTGTAATGAACATGCTTATGTCACTCTTTGCAAGACACAAAAAACATTTTCCTGACTTGTCTATTTTCTACTCAAGCTCCTAATATAAGGTCAAATATCTGCATTCTTGTGCCCTAAGACCACAAATTCTCATTGTTAAAAATTTAAAGTCTGTGTTTACCAGGGCTTTGTCAGACAAGCTTTGATGGTTCTTGCTCTAACAGATAAAGATGCCACTGCTCCAGCTGCTAATCTCACCCTTCCAGAAATCACTGATTCTCCAGAGAGCAACACCACAGTGAGGATAAGGAAATGCCTGTGTGCCCCTCAGCTGTGCCAACTCTGCTCTAGCTCAGAGCCACTTCCGTCAGGAGTGCAGCTAAAAAACCAGGCCAGGCACAGGAGTGCAGATATGCATTTCCTTCTGCTGACACTGCTTCAGGAACACGGAGCTTCTGGCAGAGCGAACAAAGTTTAACATCACTGCAGCAAGATCTATTTGACCCTCACATTACCAGACCCCTAAATGAAACTCCAGGTTAAGCAACAGAACAAATGGCTCCAGATAACAGCTTTGGCAATGCACTTTCCCACGTGCTCCAAGAAGAAATCTAGTCCATAAATGCTAAAACAACAGTCTTGACCTGCTTCCTGCATCAGTCCTGAAACACGACTATGGTTTCTAAATGCTCAATGCTAAAATAATTACCTTAGTAAATAAACACTTCCTCTCATTCTGTGAGCTCTCAGATAAGAATTAGAAATGAATTCTAAAGAAGTAAACTTGTAGAGGTATCTTACGTCAGCCACAAGAGATTAATTGTTTTGGTCCAATTTCTCTTTGTACTTCCACTCAAACAAGCTCTGCGAAACGCTTCCCTGGCAAGGAAGACGACTGTGGAGTACAGCAGAGTCAGCCTAAAGGAGGTGAGAAGGAAAAAAAAAAAGGAGAGAAAACTATTTCTTTACTTACTACTGAAATCCTTCATGCAATAGCATCACAGGATTGCATGACAGACAGACAAATCTTAACAGGTATGCAAACATGGTGATATGAGCTAAATTACCACCTCTTCCTAAAACACAAAGATGTAAAGTAACTACATGTGATTACTGAAATGGCAAAAATACATGCTACAAACCAAAAATACAGAGAAAAACTGTATCCTATGGGAACAGCATGGCTTTTCCTTTGCAAGCTGATGGTTTAAACATGGAAAACAGGCCAGTGCTGCCAGTGTTTCAGGGCAAAACAAAACTGGGGAAGCATCAAATAATCTAACGCTATGAAACATCCAAAAGTAGATTAAACAGCGTTATGCAGAGCATTACAACCAACACTAAACAGAGCCGAGATGCAGACGCACAAGCACCGTCCCAAAGCCCTCCTGGCGATGCCTCAAGGATGTCCGGGGACCAGAGGGTTGGATGCGGGGCACGGGTCGCCTGCCCGGGGGCTCTTCAGCCTCCTCCTCCTCACCTGACATTGACCACGCCGATGAGCTCCCTGGAGAGGTAGCGCAGCGTGAAGGCGTTCAGCGCGAAGGTGACCACCCGGAACAGCACCTGTGGAAGAAGCCGCACGGGAAACACCTGCGGGGCACGGCCGAGCAGGAGCAGGAGGAGGAGGAGGAGGAGGAGGAGGAGGAGGAGGAGGAGGGTTGGGGCGGCCCCGTACCTGCAGCAGGGCGCTGGACGAGGCCAGCCGGGCGGTCTGACCGAGCACCTCCTGCGCCGCCATCCCCGGCCCCGCCGCAGGAAATGGCGCGGCCGCCGTCGCGCCGGATCCCGTCAGAGCGGGGGCACCGCCCCGACCCGGCCCGGCAGCACCGGGGGGCTGAGGGGACTCCGCCCCGGCGGCTCGGATGGGGTTGAGGGGACGGGGCGAGGCAGGACGGGAGTGGCCGGTTCGGCGGCGCTCGGGACAAATTGGGAGCGGTCCAGGAGCTCCAGCACCCGCCGGTGCCAAAACTAAGCGCCAGCCAAGCAGGTGTGCCTCCAAAGCCACCCCTAAACTCCACGCTGGCTTAGGGGAGGAGATACCCTGGTAAATAGTACTTTCTGATAAGTGCTGTTTGTTTTTTTCCCAGAGATTTCTGGAAAAAAAAATCTCCGTGCGAGTTCCATCAGTCCCTTTCTAAACTTGAGGGCAAACCCTCCAGCCTTCCCTGACCCGAAGAAAAAAGGCAAAAACAGAGGTAAAACATGCTGGCTGCGGGACCAACAAAGGTTCTTATTTCGTTCTGTAGAGAAGAAAAAACAAAACAAACAAAACCCCCCAAACACAAACAACAACAAAACCGTAAAACAAACACCAAAAACCAAAACAAAACCAGCACAACCACAAAAACAAACAAACAAACCCAAATAAAATCCACCCAAACCACAAACAAAAAAAAACCCCCAAACAAATAAAAACCCCACCACCCAAATACAACCCATCCCCAAAAGCCACCACACCTTCAAATAGCAAAACACAATTTAACCATAACAGATCAAATTTGGTAATACACTGATTTGGAACCTTGAAAGTAAACAAGACTTGGTCACCTCAGACTCATTTAAAGTCTGCACAGTTCCAGATTATTTCAGATTACTGTTTAAACAACAATATATAAAAAGAATGTATCTTCCATGTTACAGAACATTCCCTTCAAAAGCAAGGCACTTCCAGCTCAGAGGTCACATTTTTCTTAGCAGTGCTACAATTGAGATAAAACTTCCCAAGTCTAACCCCAGCTGTTAGGGCAGGGGGCAGGAAGTGTCTGAGCCCTATTTGATTTCAGCTTCATAGTGACAGAATATGAATTGCAACTGTTTAAATCAAGGTCTTAAGAGAAACTAGATAAGCAACCAAAATTTTTCAAGTTCATGCAAAGCAGCCATGTCTCCATCAATTGTCTGCTACATAAAACCCCCTCCTCCTCTGAGCCATTTCATCCACTACTTTTTTCCTTCCATGTTCAGAGTAGTTTTCCAGGTTTTTGGTTTCATTTTTTTTCCCTTTGGTCATTTTTCCTAATAACATTATTTAACTAATTTGGAAGTGATGTATAAACATAAAAGTGTGTGGCATCCTATGATAAAAACAAACAAACAAGAAACATCACAAAAAAACCCCCAAACTTACAAAAAGGGGTTATTAACCCATTGTAAAGACAGGGATATGGGGACAGAGAGGAGAAATTAATCTGTGTTGGGTAATTGCAGAGATAGATTTTGAGTCACAGAAGAGTATTGTAGCTAGAGGGGAGGAAACATTGCCATTCCTTTTTCCTTTAAGCAGTTTTCCACTTCTCAAATGGAAAAAGCAATTTAAAATATTGTCCTAACTCAGGCTCTGAAGTTTTCTTGATGACAATAGTGGTGACAGCAGAAATCAAAATACTTCTAGCATGTCATGGCTTGTGCAGCCTGTTCTAATGCTTGAGAACCCTTTCAGTGTAAAATTTTTCCTATTATCTTGTCTAAATCTCCCCTGGCACAACTTGAGATGGGTTCTTCTCATCCTATCACTTCTTTCTTGGGAGAACAGACCAACACTCACCTGGCTACAACACCCTTTTGGGTAGTTGTAGAGAAGAACATGGTCTGCCTTGAATCTCCTTTGTAATTTTGATCAGTTTTAAGCTACCTCCTACAGCCTCTCCTCATAACTCTTGTTCTCCAGACCCTTCACCAGTTTCACTGCCCTTCTCTGGACACGCTCCAGCATCTACCAACACTCCACTATGACAGACTCATGTTCTTCTCCATCCACATATAAACATTTTCATGACACAAGTAGGTAACTTCAATAAAGCATGAGAAATCAACGTGCTAACTGGAAGCAATTAATTGTCTGACCTTTTCGGGCATCTGCCATGGGCAGAAGGAAGTGGCAACTCAGTGATGTTTTGTTGGACAGTATGGCTTGTCACCTCATAAAGACGAAACAGAAACAGCTGCGAAGCCCGAGGGTGGTGGAAAAAGACGGGAAACAGCGGTAACTTGAGCTGGGTTTTATAGGAACCAGCTTTGCCCCTCGGCCCCTCCGGGCACTGACGCGGTTCCGCCGCCAGGTGGCGGCACCGGCCCCTTCAGGGCCTGAGGGGACGCGCCGGGGCCGCTCCCGCGGCGGCTCCAGGCCCTGCCCCGGGCTGTGTCCGGACTGGCCGGCTCGCGATCGGAATGTGGCACAACACGAGTCCAAATCAGAGCAGGAGCAGTGTTTCGTAGAATCATACAACGCCCTGGATTGGAAGGGAACCTTTCAGAGCATCTCGTTCCAACCCCCTGCCATGGGCAGGGACGCCTTACACCACACCGGGTTGCTCAGAGCCCCATCCAACCTGGCCTTGGACACTTCCAGGGATGGGGCATCCACAGCCTCTCTGGGCAACCTGTGCCAGTGCATCACCACCCCCACAGTAGATAATATTTTCCCTAATACCTCGTCTAAATCCACTCTCTTTCAGTTTAAAGCCATTTCCCCTTTGTCCTATCACTCCATGCTCTTGTAAAAAAGTCCCTCTCCATCTTTCCTCTAAGTTTCCTTCAGGTGCTGGAAGGCCACAATTAAGTTACCCTGAAGCCTTCTCTTTTCCAGGCTGAACAACCCCAGTTCTCCCAGCCTTTCCTCATAGCAGAGCTGCTCCATCCCTCTAATCAACTTGGTGTCCTTCCTCTGGACTTGCTCCAACAGCTCCATCTCCTTCCTGTGCTGGGGATCCCAGAGCTGGATGCAGCACTGCAGCTGGGGTCTCACCAGAGCTGAGCAGAGGGGGAGAATCCCATCCCTCACCTGCTGTCCATGCTGCTGATGATGCAGCCCAGGAAACAGTTGCCTCTCTGGGCTGTGAGCACACACTGTCAGCTCATATCCAGCCTCTCATCCACCAGCACCCCCAAATTCTTCTCAAAACATAAACTGACCTATCAGTTAAATCGATTTTATTCACAACCATGTGTCAGTACACTAAACGACTGAGTCAACAGAAAATGCTGACATTTAGTAATACCATATGAGAATGATTATAACTTTAAAAAGGACCAAGTTAATGAACCTGGCACACGGCGTCACAGCAGTTTCACGAGAATGTGAAAACAATTGCTCTCCAATTCCAACACAGGCAATGCCCACTTAGACCATTTGTGCATCCCCTCATCACAGCATGTCTTTTTGTTGTCCTGAAGCAACTGTTTGTGGCAGGATACTCTAAAATAGTTCACTTTCTTTAACAGCAAAGAAAGCAAGATTAACTACTACAAAGATCTTGACTTTCAAAGTTAGCCTGCATCTGGAGCCAAACTAGTCTGGATGTTCCTCCAGCAGAGTCCCCATACACTCCTTGACTTGGGACAACAGGATAAACCCGTCATTAGAGGTAAGTGGAACCTCTACATCAGAGAGAACTCCTTCGATCTACTCCAAAGTTTAATGCGTCCAAAAAGGCCAGACAGCTTTATATACAGGCCTTAGAAGGAGTTGGAACTGTTCCTTCTGAATTTAAAAAAAAATGAAAAATCTTTGTGTTTCAATAGCTTCAATCTGTGTTTACACCTGGGGAACTTGGGGTATTTAATTACCCCATTAATAAGGTATTTCAAGATGAAAAGTGGATTTTGTTTTCAAATCACAACTTTTACACATAGATCGAAAACTTAAAACCTGTTGGAACAATTAGAGAACTTCCATAGTATCACCTCCCTCGGAGAGGAAATCCTCTTCAGCTAAAACATTATAGTTAATTTCCCTCAGGACCAAATTTCCCAAATTAACAACAAGGTGACACTGGAAAGCAGGAATCGTTTGAATCAGCACTGAGTCCTTGAAAGAAGTCTGGTCAGTTCTAACTTCTGATCTGTTCTAAAACAAAAGTCTCATTGCAGAACCAAAATCAAATCCAGTATAAAGGATTGTTAGCAATTTTTTATATTATTAAGCCAAATAAGTACTGCAGTTTAGAGTTAATAATATATTTTAATTTTTTCATTTTTATTTGTGGCTTTCCATTCTCTTAAAAGTCCCATGAGGAATCAAGCTAGAAAATCAACTGTGCTATGAAATCATAGGCAATTCTCTACTGCGGCCTGATACCTCCTGGAATAGTGCATGATGTAACACCAAATGATGGACTAGGCTGTGAGCTAAAGACTGTAAATTTCTGCAGCTGCTTTAAAAGCTTTTAGCTTTAGAGTCAGGACCAATTATAGAAACGAGAAAAACAAAAGCTCAAAACCCCTGGTGCTGCCTGAGCAACCTTCCCCCTCATCAACACCTTGTCCAGTGGCTTCAGTGCAGAGAGGCCACAATCCCCAACACCCCCAGGGAGCAGCCAAAAGCTGCTGCTCCTGCACCCAGCCCTGCTCTGTGCCTCTGCAGCTGGAGGGACAGGCAGTGAAGGCAGCAGGCCCTGAGAGCATGGACTGCATAAAAAGATGGATATGGACTGCTCTCTTCCCATCCCTCTAGCCTGCATCAGGATTCTGTCTCATGGCTGGACATGAGTTCTACTAAAGCAGAGGAGTGGGCACTCTGCACAGCTCACTTATCACAATATCCCCACCATGCTTTGTAAGGAGTGTGATGCTTCACACAACTGCCCTGCCTCTGCTACAAGTCCACACTTTGCCATTTAACTAACAAGGACAAAGTAATTTTATTATTATTTTCCCTCTTCTGCTCAAAAGTCAGCAAAGGACAAATTACATTAAGTCTGGTTTTAATTTTCTTCAGGTCTTCTTTCGAAAACAAAGCATAGAAGAGATCTGTCTCTTTGTTCCTGGTCATATAAAAGCTTGTTCCTTCACAGAAATAAGTAG